CCGAGTTTCCACCTGTTTTGTCAAACCATGGGGAGCATTTTAAGGGACTTCTCTGTGAACCGCATCTGCCAAGAAATCCCTGAACCTGAACAGAGGCCCTTTCTTCTGTTTTTCTTTCTGTTGTGACCATTGCTTGAGCCCTGGAACGTCTCCTTTCTCCCTCCTGGAACTGTAGGACTGGGTTGGAAACATGCAACTTTAACAGAAATGCAGAGGAAGAACTTTGACTTGGTTTCTGTGGCAGAACATACGCAAATGGAAACACAACAACAACAACAAAAAAGACAGCAGGAGTTCTGATGTGATACTGCAGGGTTTTGCCTAAACAGACCCTGACAGTCTGAGACTTGGAATTACGTGATTACTGCAAAGGATACGGCTCTGAATTCATTTGCTCTTTCCTTCCTGGCTTTTGTTTTAAACGAGGCGCCTGCTTAGTCCCCTCTGGGTCATGATGAGCCTGCAGCTGCACTCTCCCCGCAAAACGGACCCCTTGGTGGAGAAACAGATGGGAGGCGAGCCGAGCAGTGGGAGGTGAAACATCTATCAGATCATCAGCCGGGCCTAGCTGAAGCTCTCCTGCCTTCGGCAGACTTCTGGGGAGTTGCTGGCTGTTATTCATGACAATAGCATGGGGAGGGTTAGGTTGCCTCCAAGACTGTTATGTATGCTCTGTATTGTTATTTGCATAGAACCCTTTCATTTAATGACAGAACCGTTTCCAAGTCCTCTTACCTTTTCAGAGAAATCTCTGCCCCACAGCCACCGAAACCCTGAGGATTAACATAGCAGCCTTTGACCGAACTCTGCCCAGGCATTTGTGTTCTGCTCCAGTTTGCAGAGATTACATCACACACTGCCAGGTTGCTGCTGTTGTCCTGAAAGCAAATTGGCACCCAGCCGTTTTCAGTCCACTTCATCCAATTCAGGGTGGGAGGACAGTCGGAGCCTCTCATGGCAGGACACACCCTGGATAGGCTGTCAGTTCATTGCAGGGCTGGCACACACACAGACACACAAACTCACACCAGGGCCAGTTTTCCCAGATGTCAGATGGAGCGCCTGGGGGAAGCCCAAACACAGGGAGAACATACAAGCTCCATGCAGACAGCACCACAGGTGTAGAATTGAACTCAGGGCCCCAGTACTCTGAGGCAGAACAATGCTGACTCAAAAGCAATTCATATGTATCATGTTGCAGGTTACATGTTTATCTAGAATATAATATAGAGGCCTGTAATTAAACAGCCAGTAGAGCATCATGATAGTGAAACAATCTTTAACGCCCCCTAATGACATACAGGTGAAGGGGTGTTTCTGCTAGTGTTCTGTTAGTGGGTCTGGATCTTGTGGCGCTGAGTTAGCTAGCATGTCTTTGGAGTAGCAGCAGGGTTCAAGTCTGTGTTGGGATCTGGGATCTGCCCCCTGGGCGTTTTAATTAAGATTGGCAGCATTCTGATCAAAAATACCCAAGTGTCTAGCCTTGAGATAGTGGACCACAGACATGCACTCGAAAGTGATAATGCATGAGCAGTTATGGTGACTGCATGATCCACAATTGTGGTAAAGCAAGGACAATGCGTGGCAAGAACTAAGAATATATGAGTCCTCACAGCACAGCTGCAAACTGGAGGCGGAGACAATCCACAAAGGCTCCTCACCTTCGTCCCTTCTGAGCTTCTCAGCTGCCAGCTGTAATATTGTTTCCCATGATTCCTGGCCCAGCTGATTGCTGATCCGCTGATTTTCTAGTTTTAAAAGTGCTGGACAGCACACAGTCGTGGGGAGCGACTCCCAAAAAGGAAAATTGTTTTGACTAATTTACGAGACATTAAAGGGCTTAGAAATGTGTTTTGGTTTGGCTTAGGGTTTCTTTCTATCTTAAAATTGTACTTTGCTCTTTTTGTTTGTTAAATTTCGCCTGGGAATAAGTGGATTTGTGAATTGAGTCCTGCTTGTTTGTTCAAAGACTATCTGGCTCTGGAGAGATGCAAACAGAATTTTGAACCACCGCTAAAGAGCATTGTGCTGCTGTAACCAGTATGTGTAGAAAATGTATTTCAAAAGTACAAGATCTGTATATATGAAAATGACTATTAAAATTGACTAAACTGTTGCTGTGAGATTCTCATTTAAAAAAGCACTCCGTAATGATGAAATACTTAGAATATAACAATGATAAAGGGATACTGGAAAAACACTGTGTTCATGATCTCAGGCAGGCTATCAGTACAGCTATCCTTTCATTTCTTATATCAGGAATAAAACGAATAAAACAAACAATTTAAAATTTCTATGGCAAAAGAATCCTTGATAATGCACAAGTTGAAAGGAGAAGTACTGTGTCTCTTTACTTCATTCATTAATATCCATTTAAATTAAAAACAGGGGTAGGCTTTAGTGTGGCGGCTTTATTTTGTCTCCCCTATTCATCCAGCTCAACATGGTTGTGGTTGAACACAAGTCACTGATACGCTTTGTGTTGCTCTGCATCTGCACAGCCTAAAGTAGTGCTATACCAGCTATGCCAAAGGGCCAGTCCCCCGGTCCTTGGAAGTGATGTCACAGTAGAAGCCTCATCTTGGGCTACGAGACCAGTTGTACCAACTGCCAAAACTGCAATCTGCAATCCAAATAGTTTCCTCTTACTTTAGACAGACAATGAGATAAAATTCATCTCTAGGGCAAAAACATTTGCTTGCCTTTAAAAAATCCATTAACAACAAGCTCAAAATAGCCAGCAACCCTCAGCAGTTATTTTTCTTTAGTTGCCTGTTTCTCCTTTATGTACAGAGTTTGAATTTATAAAGAACACATAACAATGAATCCTTCTTGCACCTGGGAGAGAACATTCAAAATCTGAATGATGTAATCAGGCTGCTGTACACCTGTTGTAAAAGCGTGTGGGTGTATGTCTCATTCTCCGTCTCTGTAGGTGAGTGCTTGTGTCTCTCCATCCGCATGTACTGGTCTGAGTGACGTCTGGGCTGCAAAAAACACAATCTCTTCAAATGCAGTAAAACTAAACTATCCTTTATTACCAAGGCTTTTTACCTGCTTAGTTTGGACAACTGATTGTATACTGTATATGTTTGGGGTTTTTTTCTCTTCATACTGTACATGTTAAACATGTATGTGTTTAATGTGTCTTTTACCTGCCTGCAAAGCGAATTTCCCTTGTGGAACAATAAGGAGGTAATCATGGCACATGTGCTGGTGTGGATACCAGCTTATGTATGTTGTTGTATTGATGGCTTAAACCCAGGGTCTTAGATCTTCCTGTGCATGTCTGCATATTGGTTCTATAATCTCCAGTTCATTCCATTTCAGCACTTTCCAAATGCTTGATTTATGGGTTAAAGAGTGTTGTATTGTGTGGATGGCCATTACCCACAAAGGCCTATTTCAAAGAATGGGTACCCCAATGTTTCAGACTCCATCTTCCACAACTCCATCCAAGTTATAATGCGCAGCAAAAGTAGACAAGAAGATATGCTGCAAGAAATGGATCTTTCAGTATCGAAGATTGGGTGATTTCGATTTGGGTTCTTTCCTTCTTTCTGTGATCAAATCCAATGGGATCTGGCAAAGTGGAGCCTTTTCCTACCCTTCCATCAGGAAAATGTGTTACAGATGGGTATTTTCAATGAATGTTCCCCAACGACCCAGAGTCAGAGAAAGGTCTTCACATGGGCAGTAGAGAGGTTTTGGAGGGACCGGTGAGAAACCGTGCGCTGGGGAATTCGTATAGCAAAAAAAGAAAGAAAACTGAACAATCGCCAGTGGCTTTAGTTGAAATGAGATTATGCATGTTTTCCCTCTCTGCAATATGTGAAGGATGAAACTCAATCGAGAGAAAAGAGCAGCTGTCCGTTGTGTTTGCAGGAAGGTATGACTTCTTCTCAGAAAGCCAATTAGCGTAAGGAAATCGCTCCGGTGCCATGACCCAGCCCCAGAATAGCAGGCTCGGCTCGCTCTCGCAGCTCTGGAGGAGGAAGGCTGCGATTGCTGCCTCTCTCGGGATGCTCTGTTTAATAACACAGTCAATACTAATTGAATCTTCGTTTTGCCTCGCTCGATATCCTATTATTTTCTGGATCAATGGCCCTGAGATCGCAACGCAGCTGGTCGATCACAATGCTCTCCCTGGGGTCCAGGAGAGGGTTCTCGTGTTTTTTTTTTGTTCTGGTTGTTATTTTTTCAAAGGAAAATCGCAGCAATGTCAGAGCTCCTTGTCCGTAGGAGCAAAAATATTCAGGGATGAGCTCGCAGAGACTGATGCAGTAAGCATGCTTTAGTAACAGAAGGAAAAATATGGCCTTTACGTAGCGCTGCCTCTTACAGAAAGTATTTAAAAGAATAATTCCTTTGATTTACGGTGCCCCTTTCATCCCAAAGGATCAAAGCACATTACATAGAGGAGGGGACCCACTTCATCCACAACTGAAGCTCAGCGCCACCTGGGTGACACACAGCAGCCTTTCGGCGCCAGCTGTCCCGTTGCACAGCAGACCAGAGGGAGAAATCGTGTCACCAGCTGAATTAGGGGAGACCTTTCCTGAGGTCAGATGCTGGATGTCCCAAATGCAATACACCCCCGGACACTGGGGTTATCGCCCCTCCTTTTACAAGCAGTGCCAACGGGATCTTTAATGACCGAGCACTCAGGACTTCGGCGTAACAGCTCATGTAAATGACAGCACCCCCGACAGCACAGCAACTCCTGGTCATCATCATGGGTTTGGAGGTCAGAGCGCCACCTGCTGGTTGAGGAACCAGTGATAAGTGCACTGTAATAAGATCAGTAAGTGTACAGCAAATGTAACTGTAATACGGTCGGCCTTCACTTTAGCAAAAGACTGTCAAATCGTGGTAAAAGCACCTGATAAATTGTAATTGCAGATTGCAGGGAGTCGTCATTTGCAGACCGTGAGAAATCAAATGTAAATACATTATATCAAATTGGAAAAACAGGTAATAAATGCAAATCAAGTGTAAATTTATCTCATTCAATTTTCACATTGGACCACAGTCTGTGGCTTAAGATAGAGCAGGAGCTGAATTTAAGTGCCACAGACTCCAACATGCTTTCTGGATAGATGAACAACAATCACCACAGCACATATTTAATTCTTTGTGCATTGCTGATGTGAATGACAATAAAATGATTTTTTCCTTCTCTCCATCCCTGAATATGGAACAAATTCAATTAGTTTTCCGTCTCTTTTTTTCAGAATGATTTCGTTTTGCATGCACGCATGTGACGCACAGCGCCGAATCCAAATTTGCTCAGCACTTGCAAATTAGGAGCAAATGTAATAAGTGTGGCAAACAGTACGAAGAGACTTACAGAAGATCCATTACGAGAACACAAACTTAAACATTGGCGTGTTTTATGGCTCAGGTTAGGGGTATACTGTAGGTTTGCATGCTCCAGTTTGATAACAGTGGCTGTATGAACATGAATTTCTTGACCTCGCCTGACCCCTGTTCAAGGACACATTGTACTTTTTGCTGAGAATTGTTGTTAAGCTTTTTTCCCCTCTCTACTTCACTCTATTTTGAGGAAAGCAAATGTAAATATCTTTGACACTTTCTTTTTTTAATTTGGAATCGCCAGTTATATTTTTTCTTATATTGCACACCCAGGTA